GCACTGAGATTGCGGGATTCTGGATCGGAGCTTCGCAACGACTCGGAGGAGTTCCGCTTGAGCGTTTTGTCCAAAGCCCTGTTTCTTCGACCTCTAAGCCCGAAAAAAAACTAAACCCTGAATCCAGAACCCTGGGTTCAGGGTTTCGGGTTTAGGGGGACCCCAATAAAAAATCTTCTCCGGCCGAAGGCACTTGCCCACATGGCAGATGAGCAGGGCAAGGCCCGTGGCCAACCTTAGGACGAGCTTAGCCTGCGGGGTTCACTGGGCTTTCCTATTCACTACATACAGTAATGTACGAGTAACACCTGAAAGCCCCAACCAACCTAGACCCTAAACCCTAGACCCTAAACCCTAAACCCTTAACCCTTAAGCCCGACGCCTAAACTCCCTGTTCCCTGAATCCTGAACACCCCGGCTCCCCGGCTAGCCGAGGGGCAGGGATCCCCACTTGAATGCGGAGGGCCAGTGCACCACGAAGCCTGTCGTTGATGTACGTAGGGCTTGGGGTTTAGGGTCTGGGGATGAAAGATTCAGGGTTTAGGGTCCGGTTCTACACCCTGGAACTTGCCAGCGCACACACCCGAAGCCTAAGCCCTCCCCTCCTACGGCTTCCGTGGGTGTCTCCGGTATGCTTTAGGAAGGTTTAGCAGTTGCTCCGCGTCCGTATGTGTCCGTACGTAAGTGACCCAAAACCTGTGAACGTAAAGTTTTCTGTGCACATCAGAGTGGATCTTTGATGTGACGGTTGGATGCGAGTATCTTACGAGTTTCAGACATTAGTTTTGGCTTTTGGGATGCAGACCTGAGGACTATTGTATTTTCAGTTCTAGATTGGTTCAGAATGATTTGCGCGCTTGGGGTACATGTTCCAATTCGTGAGGGTCAGGATTAGGTCTGCCAAAACTGCCGCGGTGACCGAAATTCACCACAGAGTTCATCAGCACTAAACGGCTCTAGACTTAAAACCCTTTGCGGAGCTATCCCCTTTGTCAAGGCCTCTGAAGCCCCAACACCTTGCAAGTCCGTCTGCCTCGTAAGCACGAGGATTTGCTAAACCCTATCGCCATTAACGCTTCCTGATTCGTAAGTGATTAAGTGATTAAGCACAGATATGCACATGTAAACGATGTGCATACCCACAAGTAAGCAGACACTTAGATAAACAAATGAAGAATGAATAGACAGATGCATGTGCTTCTATGTAGACAACCACACACACCTTGCATGTATGTATGTATGTATGTATGTATTTATTTATGCGTATGTATGTATGTATGTATGTATGTATGCATGTATGTATGCGTATATGCGTATGTATGCATGTATGTATGCATGTATGTATGCATGCATGGATGTGTGTAGGCATGTAAGTATGTAGGTATGTATGTAGGTATGCAGGTAGGTAGGCAGGTAGGTAGGGAGGAAGGTAGGGAGGTAGGTAGCATGTATGTATGGGTGTATGTACGTATGTATGTACGTATGCATGTACATATGTATGTATGTATGTACCTTGCTACTACGTCCTATGTCGTATATTGCTTTACATCATTCTGTACTTCCGCTCGTGTGTTCGTTTTTGATGTATACAGATGTGAACCCAGTACGAGGCTGCCATCAAGCGCAGGAACTCCACTGAAGCCACGGAGCCTTTTCTTGAGCCCGCAAGTGCGACCCTGAATGCTAGAGGCACTAGCCAAGCAAACGGCCGAAACAACAAGATCAAAAACATGAAACTCTGTCAAGCCTGCACCCCGAACACCAAACCGACAAAGCCTAAAACCTAGCGTAAGCCCTCCCGAATCCATGCCGATGCTGCCGACGATGGTTGGGCGCAGGGGGCCCGCGCACAAGGCGGCCGTGACGGCCGTGGCCATCACTTGGCCTGGTTCGAGTTTCGGAGGAGTGTAGGCTAAGGTCTTGTGTGGCGAAGCTGCAGGGTTAAGAACCTTGGAATTTTGTTGCAATGACAACATGATTGGATCGGGCTCCGAAGTCTCATGAGTTGAGTCATGCACCGTTGCTGTAACCGGCTTGACGACATGGATGGGGTTTGGGTGACGGGGCTTCAATCAGTCAGGGTGTAGTGGGGTTTGTTTAGGCTTTGATTGCTGCTGTAGGCCGTACGAGCTTTAGAAATCTTTAATTGGGGGGATCCAGCAGGGCTCGAACAGGGGCTTGCTACATCGAGGCCTTGCGGGAACAAGCTTAAACCTTGCTTCCAGGATGGCTTCAACCGGTTCAACAAACATCATGAAAAAGAATACACTGCGGCATCAGCCTGGATCTACCAGTCACTTTTTGGTAGGGTTTACCAAACGAGTCATACGGGGAGCACGAAGCCATAAACCTGAACGTTCAAGCTCTCCCTGGTCCAGCAAGACGGGGAAGCTTTCATTGCAGTTTAGGGCTCAGGGGCTAGAGGGGAAGCCTTGATTCGCATTCAAGTCAGGATGCAAGCGACGATGCCATAGACCTTCCGGATGAAGCCCAGGCGCATCTGTCCATGGAAAGGAGCGCGGAAGGACTGCTTTCTTTCAGACTCTAAGCCTTCGTCCACAGTGCTAAACCCTCGACCCCAGACAGTCAACCCTCAGTTCAATACACGCAACCCCACACCCTGAACGTTAGCGACGGCATTGAAGCCCCTGACTCGGCTTTATACGCCTCGGCACTGCGACTCACACGTTTTATGGTGTTGGGCTTATGCATCAGATTTCGTCTTTGGGACGACGGGGCTGTTCATTCATGACGGGCTCCAAACTTATCGATCAACTTCGTAATGTTATGGCATAGAAATACTTTTAGGAAGGGAATTTCAAAACTATTTTATTTTGCATTTTCAATTCACTTGGGCAACTCGTTCACCCGGTTTGGGGGCCTTGGAACCAATTCGATTTCAAATCGATTTGAATTCAGCTTCGGCCTATGCGTAAGAGCTGCTCTCACGATGTAGTGACTCCAGTTATTCGTGTTGCTGTTGTTGCTGTTCCTGTTGTTCCTGTTGTTCCTGTTGCTGCTGTTGTTGCTGCTGCTGCTGCCGGCACTGTTGTTGTTGTTGCTGTTGTTGCTGTTGTTGCTGTTGTTGTTGCTGTTGTTGCTGTTGTTGCTGTTGTTGCTGTAAGCCTCTCGGCTCAGGAAAGGTCAGGCTAGTACAGTTGCCTTTTTCCTTTCTTGCCATGGCATTTGTCAGCGCCTGAGCAGTTCCGGTCCCAAGTCCGGGAGGGAGTATTAGATCTACAGCTCTCTAACATCTCCCAGAGGTGAGGGTTGTCGGTATTGCGAAGCCGACAGGAGCCGTACTCAACATGAGTGCAGCGAAACAGCCTAGTGGTTCGACCAAGCATCAGCCCGTTCCTAAAGGGAAGGGTAAACGCTCTTATCAAAGGGCAGCACGTAAAGCTCTGCTTGAAGGTAGTGCGGTCTACAAGGGAAGGACGATGTCGTCAACAGAGCTTGGAGTTGCTCCGGCACATGTAAAGCCCACCAATCCCGGCAGAAGGACTCGGCCTTCAAAATTTACAGAAGATAAGAATCTCAGCTATCTATCCTGGAACGCAGGATCTCTCACAACAGCAGTTTGGGAAGAGTTACTCTCCGTACTGCAAAGTGCAGCATTTCAGGATGTGAAGCTGGTAGCAATTCAGGAAACACACTGGAGGGGCTCATGGCAATTCAGCAAGTCAGGTTGGCACGTGATCAGCTCTGGCTCCACAGGGGAGAAGGGAGCCGGGGTCCTCATAATGGTGCACTCCACGCTGTGCAAGTCACAGGATCTTCGCTACAACGAGGTTGTTCCAGGAAGAGTTCTCCAGGTCCGGGTGCCGAGCAACGGCATCTCACTGGACGTCTTCAGCTGCTATCAATACGTTTGGCGCTCTAAGGAGACTGTCGCTCAGAATAAGGAAACCCGGAAGCAGACCCTTCACGCCCTAAGTAAGTCCATCCGAGCTGTTCCCAATCGCAACACTCTCCTTGTGCTAGGAGATTTTAACTCCTCGCTCAAGACCGACAACAAACACGTAGGGCCATGCACGATCCAGGCTTGCAGACTAGGGCATCGCGGATCTAAGGATCTCCAGACCCTACTGTCGGAGCACCAGCTAGTCGCAACCAACACTTGGGGAGTGCATAGACCAGCCACCCACGAACAAGGCAACTCTGTTTCACAGATTGACTTCTCGTTTGTCAGGATTGCACAGTCCCAAGGCCCTGCCAGGTTTTGCCGGCCACTAAGGACCTTCCCAGTGGCATCCTGGAGGGATGGTAGTAGGCATTTCCCCCTTCTTGGTAAACTGAGGCACAGCAGGAGATACTCCGCCCAAGCCTCAAAACCCTATGACCAGCAGGCAATGGAGGACTGCTACAGACACCGTTCCCCGAAAATACAGGCATTTGCCAGGGAGGTAGACTCCCTCCTTCAGGATCATCCCCAAACCTGGCAGAGTCTCCATCAAGCAATGAACTCAGCCCTCGCGACTCACTTTCCCAAGAGAAAGGGAGCAGCACAAAGAACAGATCTCAGCATTTGGGCAGAGCGCACAGTGTTGCGCTCACTCCCAATGTCAGTCAAGGTCTTAGCAGAGTTCTTGCCGGAGTTGCAGGTCCGAATGGTATTTCGCTGCTGGCTGTCGCTGTCTCAGCAAAGTGCACAGGCGAGGGTAGCAAAGCGTCAGAAGCAGGAAAGGCGACGACAGGAAATAGATGAACAACTCGAGCAGGCAGAGCTTAAATCCAAGCAAGACGGGAGTCATTCCCTCTACAAGGTGATCAAGCGCTTCCGGTCGGGGAGGCCTCAGGAAAGAGTTCAGCTACGTGACTCAGAGGGTCGCTTCCTAACAGCCAAGGAAGAACGTAGACAATTAGAGGAATACTCCATTGAACTGTTTGGAGCAGGGGACGACTTCCCGCTCACAGGGATACAAGCCAGCTTGCACATCACCGAGCAAGAAGTTCAAGAACAGCTAGGCACTATAAAGCTTGGCAAAGCAGTTCCCAAAGAAAGTCCTCCCATAGTAGCTTGGCGCTCCCTAGGCCCCAACGCTATTCGGCTTATCTCGGACACTCTCAATAGGGAGGTCACTGCAGGAAGGCTTTCGGACAGCGTCACCTCGTCACAGATCTCTTGGCTCCCAAAGCCCCCCAAGAAGCCAGATAAGCCAACATCACTCCGTCCGATCGGGGTGATAGCACCTGAGGGCAAGGTCCTGGCAGGACTTGTGAGGCAGAGACTCAAGTCCACCCTCCATCAAGCAATGCAAGGAGTCTCTCAGTTTGGCTTCGTACCAGGTAGGGGCACAGAGGAGGCGATCTGTAAGGCCCTCACACATGTGGATCAGGCCAGGTTCAGGCAGGCCCTTACAACTAGAGCGGCTGGTAAGGGACAACAGGGGCTTAAGCTCAGGGGCAGTCTCACGATGAGCGTTGACATGAGCAAAGCTTTTGACACTGTGGACAGGCTACGATTAAGAGAAGCCCTGGAAGCTGAACAAGCAGACCCTCTTCTTATAGAGGTGGTGGGCCATCTCCACATCAAAGCCTTGTACAAGATGACAGCCAGCGATCAGAGCTTTGAGATAGCCACACGCAGGGGAATCAAGCAGGGATGCAAGCTTGCACCTTCCCTATTCGCCTTTGCATCCGGGCTTCTCTTTAGGAAGCTCTCTGGAAAAATCAGCCCCCCCGAACTAGTTAAACTTCTCACCATGTATGCGGATGATAGCTTGATTCAGTCGCATTTCGAGTCTGAGTCTGGCCTCATTACAGCACTAGGGTACTGCGACCTTCTTCTGGATCAATTGGTTGAACTTGGGTTCAAGGTCAATCCGTCCAAGTCAGCAATACTGCTGCAGCTACAAGGAGGTTCAGCCTCGACAATTAGGAAAAAGCTATTTCGCCAGGTAGATGGAGAGAAGTTTGTGGAACTCCCTTCGGGCAAGTTGATATCGCTGCGGTACCAGGTCCCATACCTGGGGGTCATTCTTTCTTATCATGACTATGAAATGAAGACCCTTAAACATCGGCTGTCATCCAGTAAGCTAGCAATGTCAGAAGTCGCCCATGCAGTTAGGAACCATCGAGTCCTATCAGACAGACGTCGTCTGTCAATTTGGACAATAACTGCGTGGGCCTCTGCTCTGTATGCCCTTCACGTGGTAGGACTGACACAGCAGGGATTGCAGAAGCTCCATTCACACATGATGTACCAACTTCGGTTTGTCCTGCGGAGCTACTCCCAGGAAACGAAGGAATCCAACCAGGAGTTACTCCGGAGAGTACGGATTCCTCACGTGAAGGAGCAGCTGCAAAAGAGGCTTACACAGTTCATTAAGAGACAGCAACACTCAGATCCTCAGCTCCTCCCACACTACAGGATGCGCGCTGAGGCAGTCAGCCAGGCTCTGGAAGGCCTTGCCATTGACTTCTCCTCGCAATCAGTAGAGGCTAAGATCCTGACCTGCGGCGAGTGTGGAGCATGTCTCTCTGGTACCGGGGCACTCCGTCGCCACCTGCAGAAGGCCCACCCAGATTCGCAGCAAAGCTTGAAAGGACCCAGATTTGACCGTATTTTGCATTCAATGCCAGGGTCAGCCACTTGCATCGCCTGTAGAGCAACATTCCGAACAGTGTTCTCTCTGCGCAAACACGTCGAAGCTTCTACATGTCCTCGGGTAGAGCTCTTGCTTCGACAGCAGGAAGAGCTCCCTCTAGAAGCCCAGAACCGGATTTCACTTACAGAAAGTCTACAGTCTGATGCTCAGGAAAATCCGGAAGGAGCAGCTCGAAATCCGGTGTTCCATGATTACCTGATGGAGCACTGTGCACTCTGCGGTCAGGTCCTTGTTGGTCAGAAAGGAGCCAAACAGCACCTAAACAAGCAGCATCCTGAAGTGATGGCCAAGCTTGAGAAAACTCTCCAACCAAGACTTGCTCAGTTCAAGGTCTTCTTTCACAAAGGAGATAGCTGTCGCTATTGCAAACTCCGTGTGGATGCCCCGGGTAGACATGCTCAGCAGTGCGTTCCACTACTGCAGGTGCACGTACTGCAGGAGGTAGCGCGTCAGCAGCTCAGTAAGCAGCCCCGAGAATATACTCGAGCAAGGCCCACGACCTCGGCGAAGACAGCCACAAAGAAGCCCACAGATTCAATGCCAGGTATTCCCCTTCCCGAATTTAGACTGGAAGGCTTTCTCCTGCTAGCCAACACTCGCAACCACTGCTATGCCAACTCAGGTCTACAGTGTCTGCACTGGCTATCTGATCCCACAGAGGCGCCTTTTCACGAGGCATCTCGGATCAGTCTACTCGCGAGAATAACCCCTGAACACAGAGTCTTCTCGGAGCTCACCACGGGCTGGCTCTTTGACGGAGGACAGCATGATTCTGCAGAGTTCCTGCAGCAAGTGTTTCGGAATCTCTCTGCATCAAAATTTGGACAGTGGGAAACTCGAGCATCAGTTCCAGAGGGTGTGATAGTCGATGAAGAAGGGGGTTCTCCCA